GGTCGCCCCTGCCCTGCACTTGGGCACCCACCGCTCTCAGGCAGGGCCCACAGGGTGCAGACGTGAAGCCTGTGTCCTGTCCCTGAGAGCCCACACCTATCTGCATGCAAGCCCTGCTGGGGAAAGAGGGACATGTGAGCTCAAGGCTGTGAAGCAGGGAGATGCGGTCTGCCCAGTGCACCCTGGGCTCCAGTGGACGAAGCAGGTGACGCCACGGGGCTAGCAGAAAGGGGCCCCGGAGGCAACTGTGGAGTGGGGCTTTGTCGCATGTGTAGGAGTTCACCAAGCACAGAGGTGAGGCCTGAGCGGGAAGGACCCCCCCAGGAGGAGGCTGCCCCGGAGCAAATGAGACCTCGGGGTTTCTTGGTGGAAAACCTTGGCCACAAGCGACTTAGGCTCCGTGAGCTGCGTCCCCTCCGTGCGAGCAAAGGGCACAGCAGACAGCGTTCGCACAGTGGGCTCCCGACCACTGGAGCCGCCGGCCCTGAAGTTAGCCCAGCCGTCTTCCCTGGCATCTGAAGGGCGTGGAGGGCGGAAGCTGGAAACGCGCAGGTCTGCAGGGGCCGGGGGACCGGGGACAGAACCCGGACCTCGTTCCGAGAAACGGGGACCCACGGACGGCCGTCGAGGGCGCCCACGGTCCCGGGGGGGCCTCGCGCTGCAGCTCGCAACGCAAGGCCGGGAGAGCAGGAGGGTGTCGCGCTGCGCCGCGGGGAAGCAGGAACCCCAGGGGGGCCAGCCAGCTGGCAGGAGGGCTGGGTCACCGCGGCGGCGGGGCTGAGGGAGCCTCCGGCAGCAAGGGAGGAAGCCGCGAGCGATGACCTCATCCCCCAGGCCTCCGGGCCGCGGCTCACGGGGTTTCTAACCACAGCATCGCGGGACAATCCCCTGGTATGCTCAGCGCCAGAAGGCACCGAACCCGCTGTTTGTGCCGGGCCTTTGAGGGCCTCTCTTTGTGTGCGAGTTGAGAAGACACAAAACCCAAACCCGGCCCCTCACCTGGGCCCGGGCTCTCACTGCCCAGGGCGGGGGGCTCTGCCCCCGCAGCAGAGGCAGAAACAAAGGGCCACCGACAGACCGGGGGCCCGTTCACGGTCACGTTCACGGCCGTGGGGCCGCACGGGGACGTGGGCGGACTGCGCGCCTAAGGCGGCGCGGACACGCCCGCGCGCTCACGCGCACACGCGGGCGGACACGCAGGGGCGCCGCACGCTCCGCGCGTGCAACGGGCAGGGCGCGCGCACACGCGTGCCCGCGCCGTGGCGGGAAGGGCCCCTCCCCGGGAAGCGGCCGGCGGGGCTCGGGTCGCACGTGTGCCCGCTCAC